GTTAAGCATACATTTCGCATATAAATAAATAATAAGAGAAATTGTATAAAGCTTCAACAGACTAGAATAGTGTAAACATTGAGTTAAAATAAGAATATTTTACAGCAGGCGATCCAAAATTGTATTATAGATCTATCTACTAAGCTCTTAGTCATGCTTTTAAACGAAATGAAAGTTGTTTAAAACCAGTTGCTTTTACTGAATTTCATATCTACGATGTCGGGGTAAAACTGATTACAATTCATTTATGAGGTTCAGTTAATGCTCTGTGTATCTTTATTAACTTTCCTCATCCGCACAAAATAATCAACTAATCAGACACTAGTATCAAAATCAGTCTTGCAAGACGTCGGTGGGATTGCTACCAGGCATCTTTTTAGTTGACCCTTCTGTATTTATCAGCATCTTGAAGGGCGTAGCCGAGGATCAACATAGCAGAGTAGAATTAATACAGCTTGCATTCTATTGTCTATTCAGAATCTGTCTACCTTTTAGAACTAAGATCTTTTCTCAACCTGGGTGTTTTTTAATAAAACCAAGAGTACTTTCGTACACGGGTTAATAGTATTTGATTAAATTATGTTTCCGTAAGCATATTTAATCTAACCTCGGTAAATAAAATGACTACATTAATCATATTGGTCGTTATGATGTTTCCGAGCTACTTGTGATTGAGTGCAATAGCAAGTGGAAATCTCCAGCTCAGTTATATCAATTATTTGGGGTTTGATCTTCAATCTCACAGAATTCTCATCAGTTTAGTTACCGTTTCAGTGAAATTTGTGCAGCCTAGGCGAAGCAGGCATGCGTGCACATGAGGCACTACTCGTTGGTTCCAGGTTTGCACGAACCAGGCCTCACTCGATTCTCCAGGCCGGAGAGGACAGTCAGCTAACAGGCTTGGAGTTAGCTCTACAGACCATCCTGGCTTCGTCACTGAGGATGCAGCCTGATCGGAAAGAAACAAGTTGACTCTTCGCCAGACCTGTAAGCAAATTAGAATGTAGAATATTATTTAAAAGTCTAGCCGATACAAAAACTACGCTTAAGAGGTAAAATGTTGATATTCGAAAGGGGCTAAGCCGCTACCCTCCCAGATAGACCGTCATGCATACGGCGTAAGTTTTCTCGTTTTGTTATCTCTTGCAATTGGTGGCCGCCTAAAACAGACCGTAAACAAACAATAAATGTTTCTATGAGGTAGACATCAGGTTTCAATTGAATTTCACATGGCCTTGATTTCACGAAAGAAATTCTTATTTTGGGTGGAGAGGTCAAGACTGCCGTCCAATCTGGATGAGAATACCTTGTATGAAGGCAAGGCTGTGTGAAGTTCAATGTAAACCTAAAGTTTACTCATATGATTGTTGGAAAATTCAAATAGCAGTCCCTTTATCAGGTTAAACTAAACGGGGTGAATACACTTTATATATGTGATCTACTGGTGATCTAGAAAACCTCATAAACGAAAAATAGATCTTTCTTTCATCGGCATGCTTTAATGTGGTTCACGAGGCCTTGTCTCCCAAGAGGTATTTTCATCCAGAGTGGACTGCAGTTTTAATCTCGCATAGGCCTCATCAGCACCCCTAGCGGGACTCAACTCATGACAGTGCGGCTTCCAGCCTCGACAAGTTAACATTAAACGAAATAGGGTAATTACATCTCATATAGAGAAATATAAACAATGGAACTGTCATTTTGGAAGGCTGGGTAGAGTAAGAAACAGCATAGACGGCTATAGGATGCAGGAGTGTCTTCAACGAGACATTCTCAAAATGCCACCTCTGTGGATACAGACTTTCACGTCGGCTTTGCCAACTTCCCAGCCGGCTTCGGTCGCCATGCCTTTGAGGTAGGCTGGTGACTAAGGCGAAAATGGTACCGAAGCCATAATACCCAACACAAGCCCCATTGCTGCCCAGCCCATGCTAGAGGGATCTAGCCTAATAATAAAATGCAATTTCAACAGTTTCGCCCACTTCAAAGGCGCATTGCCTATTAAGAATTTGCTCGAAGAGCCTAGAGGAATGGCACAGTGAAGAGCTCTGTGCTCGTGAATCCCTACAAACACATACCTAAGCTTGGCTCAAGAGGAAATCAGGATATGGTCAGTATATAAAAGGAGGAAGAAGGCTAAGAAGCCACATCTCGAAATGCCTCCACTGACCTGTGGAAGCCAGTTCACCAAGTTCTCCATCAGTGTGATGTGCCAATTCCACAGTTTGGCATCCAACGCGACTTGATCTCGTAGTTTCAGGTCGTTCCCTTCCCCGTTCAAGATCAGCCAGGCCCCCTCGGATTGTTTAATTGCTTCACTGACGGCCATGTCCACCAGACTCCGACGCAGGTGACGGAGTAGAAAGCCTTTTACCGGCTCGTAATCGTGCGAGAAGAGGATGCGTCGGCAGTTTGGCAGCTCAAGCGCTGAGTTCTCCAGCACTATCATCTCCACAGAATTGCGGCTTTTATTCATTTGTTTGTCGCTTTTGTTGGTGTATCGGCCGAACACAGTCGTATGCGAGGCCAGTAGATATACTCTGCAAAGCAAAAGGTAATCAGTTGTAGGCATAACGACCAAGTTGCTATGGCCTCTCTTTGGGTCACAGTTTCTTTTCACTGTACGGCGTTGTTCTGACTTTGTCTTTGAAACGTAATGATATCGTCTAAAAAAGCCATCCTATTCGGCTTCCTTTAACAGGGTAGTCACGCTAAGTTACAATGTAATCAGGAGCGCATCAAGTCCACGGTCTGAAGCGGGAAATTATTATGACTATTATGAGAGAAGATGACGGACATGTCGCTCGAAAACATGATTAAGTTGCACAAACGAAGTTAGACCAATTTCGAAATGTGTTTCCTAATCAACTGTGAAATAATTTATTTAACAAATTTACTTAGCACCATTTAGCTCATTTTTGCCCGGAGAGATACACTATCTTCAATAATGGAATATATCCGACGTGGCAACTATCTCATCTCAGGGCCTCGGGCACAAGTAATCAACCAGATAGTAAGACCGGTTTACTGGGGATAAAGCAGGTGGGGCTACTGCCCAGACAGCCAAAATAATGGGATACCATGATCCACCTTAGCTACAAGCCAGGTTTTCTTCCGCCGTGCCGACGAGAATTTTTGGACGTCCTGAAACCTTTATGATCTGATCTGAGTGGCTAAGACAGAGGAGCTGGTGACTTGCTGGTGGTATTGACCAGCTTCGAGATCTCTTTGTATGCAATTTTTCGTTACAGGCCCTCGAAGTTGGGCTTGATTTCTCAATGAATATGAAGGTCTGGTAGGGTCTTTTATGCCCTAGGAGGAGATTAGAAAAAAAGCTGTGACTACTCACCCGACCTTAGTCTGATCTTCTGTGAGAGCCGGGCACAATATCTGTTCTGCGTCCTCAAGAAGCTGGAGGTTCTTGATGACGAGCGCAACCGGTGCTGTCGCGTGGGACGTTCTGCACTTCTCTAACGCCTTGATAACTTCCATCCTCGAAGCACGAGTCTCCAGGGTGACCTCTATCACTTCTGAAGCCATTCTACAGTTAGCAAAAAAAGGAATATATCTTATTTTCGTCTGAGTAAACACTATCAAATCACTCCGATGCCACTCTGTATCACAAGAGTCATCCTGACGGAAAGCAAAGTTGTTACATTGACAGTTTGGATGGTGCGAACAGAGTTATTAGTGCACATTGCAATGCCAGCTCAGTAAACGGCTTAGCCACAAACTAAAATCTTTGCGGCTCAACACCCTCGATTTCCTTCTATCTATCAATCAGACAAAATTAGTTCTTATTCAACCTCATACTATCATTCCTCACATTCAACGTATTTCCTAATCTACCAATTTCAATAGCCTTTCCTATCTTTCTTTTAACCACAGACGTACCATAATCAGCAAAACTGCTAGTTTGAGACTCTTCTATCTCATGTCCAGTCTCTGTCATGTGTTCGAATATCTTCTTCATGCACTTTTATACGAAATGAAAGTCTTCCCTACGAGCATGTTCATTAGACATTTATCAACGAGAATATCAAAGGCCTGCCCAATATTCCGTTTCTATATCTTTTCAGCGTATGAGGCCCTTCTTTCTGATGTCTTCCAATTGATATTTTGTCCTGTCTGTGCGATGTGTTCTGCTATTTTTCATCATTCGATATCCGGTTTCCTGCAGAGCTTTGGATATTCTTCAATTCGGATGCTGATTTTTCTCCCTGTTTTGACAATATATTTCTGTTTGCGTGCGCCGCATGCTATGCAGTAAACTCCTGAACAATCTAATTCGTCCATCCTCTCATGTTTCGTGGGTACTCTTGTGAAGAGTGTTGTTGACTGCATAGTATGTGGTGCCTACAAACAGAAATATATTGTCGAAACATGGAGAACATCAAAAGCTCTGCTGTAAACCGAATACAGAATGATCAGAAACAGCAGAACACATCGAACAGACTGGACACGTGATCAATTGGACGGCAACTGAAAGAATGGCTTCATACGGTGAAAACGTCAGGTGACATGAAGCCATACTAAACTCGGCAAAAAGGGCACAGCTTTTGACGAGTGGAATGTAAACAAGTCAGAAGTTGTGATAGGGCGGAAACGAGATGCGAGAGTATTGAGTGGGTAGATGGGCCAGGACAAAGAGAAGAATGAAAGTACAAACGTTCCGGCTGAAAGTTGGTCGAGAGATTGAGTTCTCTTCTCTCTTTCACGAGTTGTAGTTTGGTGCAGAGAATGGCAAGACTCATTGATGATGTCGACTACGATGTCGGTTAAGCGTCTGGCAATGTGCCAAGTCTACGGTTCGACATTTGGAAGTATTCTATCCACTATGGCAGAGGACTTCGGAGAAGTTGTGCCTAACTAAGTCGCCCTAACAACACGACCAAGTTGCGAAAACAGGGCCACCCCAGTTATATGCATCGAAAATAGACTGCAACTATACTAAAGGACACACCATCATGGACTTCATATCTATGTGGGTTGACCTCATTATCGCAACTTTATCTTGTTGTCAGGGCGACTATGTAGAGCGCACTTAGTCCGAAGTCGTCTGCCATAGTAGTTGTCATGATTCCCAGCATCAGACAGTGGACT